CCTTCAGAGAGTAGGAATATAATAAGTCATAAAGAGCTGTAAAATGTTAGGTTTAATGGGATATAATGAGGATCAAGTAAAGACGTTATTGGAAAATGAATGAGATAAGACATTGTGAAGTGGTATTTAAAGATCAGACAGTGGACAGCAAGTTAGTTTATAAGATGCCCCATAAATCTGTGCAGATCCCGCGTGGTCGCGTCTCAACAATAGGCTGAGCGAATGGTATATATTTAAAGGTAGAAGCATGAACTGTCAAGGCATTCATTATTATCTTTTTCAAGATAAAGATCTAAGCCCTCTGTCAATCACGTCTCATAAACCGTTAATGCCCAGCTCTCGCTACGCTCGGGCCCACGCTGTTCTTAGAAGATTTCTCAGAAACGCTTAGTTATAACGGACGCAAAAACCAAAACACTGATCTGCCGCTTTAGATTTGTTTATTGTTACACCAACATATAAAAGGAATAAGCGAACTATTCAAACTAAGGTCTGTAAACAAATATTACAATAATAAATCGTTATATTACTTCTGACGATATTTTACTCTTCTTTCTGAACAGCGACCGATGAGACGATGACTGTCGTATTGATGCCTCCGCGAAAATCGGGGAAGTTGATTTTGAGCAAACAACCAAGAATTGATCGTTCAATCTTCAACTCCATCGACACCCTCATAAAAATCAGAAATATCTCGAGCCTTTAATTTGTATACTGCTGTTCCTGCAGAATGAGGCGATTCACCTTAGTGACCTCCACCATATCTATTGATCAGCTAACGCCACCCTCCCTCCTTTATGTGTCAATGTAGTTGAATAGTGAACGATCAATTCATGGTTGTTTGCTCAAACCAACTTCCCCAATTTTCGTGGAGGCATCAATACGACAGTCATCGTCTCATCGGTCACTGTTCAGAAAGAAGTCAGCAGAAAATCATCAGGAGTAATATTGTGATTTATTATTGTAATATTTGTTCATAGACCTCAGTTGTAATATTGGTTATACGTTGGTGTTACAATAAAGAATTATCGAGTCGCCAATCTGTGTTCTCGTTTTTGCGTCCGTTATTACTTAGCGCTTCTGAGAAACTTCAAGGAACGGCGTGAGTCGCAGCGTAGCAAGAGGTGGGCATTAACGGTTTGCGAGACGAGGCTGACAACAAAGTGGACATTATGATAGTGCAAATTATACAGGAAGCATTATACATTGCAAATGAACCTTGTCAGCCTAGGGAGTTTTTTTATTAATGCATTTATTAATGATACTTGCACTTACCTATTTCATTACAATTTAATGATTCACCTCAGCACTTTTACTTTTCTAAAACAGCTTTTAATCCCTTGTAAACGTTGTACTTACCTCAATTTTGGTTGGTTATCGTATGCCGACAACCACGAGATGAAAACGAAACGAAGTCCATTTTCCCGCTCAACCTGGAGGACAATTGTACAATTCAATAACTATACAGCCTAGTTCTGACAATGTGTATTTATATATATATATATACAAATATTTAACTGTTGAAACATTATTAACTTGTAGACAATCTACGATTTGATATTATATCATACTTGATCGTGCCTGTAAAAATGGCATGCATTTTCATGTAAATTTATATGTTTATATGAGAATATATTATTATTAACATGTATTCGTTTGAAACTTGAATACTGTGCTCTCCTATTTAGTAACGTAACGTCTGCAGACCGAAATGTCGAAAGTGCCCAGAGATTCCTCACAAGTTGCATAATACGGTTTGACCAACAAGTGGAAAGTTCGACAGGTGTATACAACGGAAATTGGAACCTATATGGTTACGGAGAGTGAAGTGCAACTTATTTCTACTCTTTAAAGTCATTCGGAAACATTGTTACAGTAACTCATCCCTAAGGTGCGAAAATATTAAATCATATCAGCTGCGAAACCACGGATACCTTGTCAAGGTGGCTACCCACAGAAAGTCCATTAGGACAAACGTTTCCACCATTTAATTTTGCACTCTTTATAACCAACTACCATCTGAAATGAGATGTTGTGAAAACCCCGATGGGTTAAAACAGAGCCTAGAAAGACACATTAACATGTCCACCCTAGCTCGACTAAAAGATCACAACTACAGCATAGTCACATACGTATAATCCGACTCTAATACTAACGCAGCGAACTTCTAACTAACTTGCTGATTTCTATTCTCTATAACCTGCACTATGTTGTGTTGGTATAAATAACTCTGGAAATAATTATATTAGCAACCAAGCCTTTTAATATTTTACATATAAATATACAGTTAATAATACAATGCTATTTTTTTGTCGAAATGACTTGACTCAGTCAATAACTACCTTTTCTTATACACTTTTCTAAAACGTAAAATTTTTATAATAATTAGCTGTATTTTTAACATTATATAAGTTGAAGGGTTACTTTGCAATGTCTAATGTGTACCGTACGAAAATCGGTCATGAAACTTTAGCGTAACTAGTTCTGTCAACCAGCTTTTTTCTTCCGGATCATTCTACATAATTTTGTCACTAATTATTCCACTACCCATTTCACTCTGCTAGATAGACTATAACTTATTTGCTGTAATGCCGGCTACTTCTGCACTTAATACTTCTTAAATTAAACGCAATTCCTAGGCGTTTATAAAAAATACTTGCATGTATGAAGGTGATACTGCTAAGAATGTCCCCAGGTATCGATGTATCTGGTGACCTAATAGGAATCCCTTGTCACGAAAGCTATTGATATACAGTATACTATAAGATTGGGACGGTCTCGAAGCAATACAGTGCTGCAACTATAGTTGTTGCGAAAAAATCTAAGAGCTTAGCATCAAAAAGGAGGAAGGGTGGCGCATGCTGATTAGCAGATATGGAAGTGGTCACAAATGTAAGTCTCTCCGATCTGTAGGACAGCAACATGCATTTTTTGACAGCTCAAGAATTAAACATTAGTCTGGACCCTCAATGACAAAAAAGTAGATAAATATAATAACAAGGGTTGTACAGATCTAAATTATACATAAAAATGTGCTTTTGCTCCTACCATCTACAAGACTGTTCAGCTTCTTGTCAAAATGCTGTCCAAAAGTCTCTGCATAAATTCGTGAAACATTTTACGGGTCAGCCTGTCCCACGACCTCCAATTTTCCAGATCTTTGAATTCACTCCCCACTTAAATATCACTTACCTACCTCACGATAATCTTCTTATTTACGCATTGCTATACTCTATTTGATGTTAACTAACTAGGCCATTATTAAAGCTAAAACTCCCTCTTTGTTCATATTTGTTGCTCGCCCAAAGTCTGGCTGCTTTGATTAAAAACACAACAACACCATAGTTTGAACAAAGCTACATCATTATCGAAAACATCACATTTCCATGCCTAGACCAATATGGTTAGCACTAAACATTGCAAGTGTATGCTACCATTCCAAGCACCATATAGCTTCTTCTTCTTGTATATATCTTGTATTATACTTCCAATAATATATTATTCATAATTGCATTTTATACCACTTTGCAGCTGCGCAGAATTTTCTTCTCTTCCTGAAATAGCATTCAATCACGTGGCGGCATAGCACTCACCGAGATATACGCTGTTCACTGGTTGACATAACTATCATCAGGAAATGAAACGAGGTTTGGGTTGTTGCCCAATTCGGATGGTGACATTAGTAAACGGTTTACGATTTAACATTTACAAGAACCTCTTCTGATTGCTTGTACAATAATTGAACAATTTAAACTTTTGAGAAGGTATTCATTTTTATACTTCAGGATTGTAATTTATAACATAAGTGATCGTGCCTATAAAAATGGAATGCATTTCTTGTAAACTTACCCGTTTATACGAAATATAATTTATCATTATTATTGTAACGGAATTTCAATATTTGAAAGAATAAAAATAGCAGTTTTTCACCGTATCACTGTTAGTTAGCAATTTCATCACCTAAAAGACTTTTAAAAAGGTGTCTCAGAGTATTTGTACTTAGTTTTTCGAGCATAAACTCATTTAAAACTTCTTCTAACCCTAACTGGTGTGATGCGAGTGGCAAGTAGTTTACACAGAGGGTATCCACAGCTTGGCAAGTAGATACACGCCAATTTCCTGCGTGGATTAAAATGCTTTCCCAACGAGATGATTTGACGATACTCTACTCTCCCAACCTTTCTAAAATGTAACGAAGGCCAGGTCAGGTATCACTAGAAGGGTTAAGAGGGTGGCAACAGGAAGAATACTTAGAATACATAGACTCAGAAGCTCTAAGTGTAAACAGACTGCCTTAAACGCCTCATGTAGGTTAGGCGGAATAGTCTTCAAGTTATTAACATAGTGTCGGAAGAGCAGCAGAGATTACAGGAAGGATATCACTCAACGTATTTAAACTTCTATTTAGTTTCAAGTTCAGTGCCATCAGTGTTACAGAAATAATGGGAACAAACTGGTTCTGGCAAATAAAATTCGTGTTTTAAGGTGAAAAAAACAGTCTGATATTTGGTGGGATATAGCTTGAAACCATGGTTTCTGAAAAAAATCTATTCACTCTTAAATATTCTAACTGGGGAGTAATGAGGTGGAGGCAATGAAATCACTTGCATGCTTAACAAACTTGGTATCATCAGGATGAAGCGAGTCATGTAAGGATAAAGAAACAGAATAGGAGAAAAATCAGCACTTTGAGGAACACTAGTTACAACGAGGAGAGTGGTGAAAGACTTCCTTCTATACAATGTGGACTGTTTCCTGTCGAAAATAGGGTTGTGACCACATGTTAATCCATCAACCTGCTTGTTCGATACCAAAATTCCCTGATGGGAACAAATATATTCGTCAAAACTAACCTATTATACGACGTCCTAATGTTTTCAACACAGCAGTTCGCTAAGATATGTAGGACTGTTTCAAGAAAACGGGAATAAGTAGCTAAGTAATCATTGAACTTGTCCGGCAGGTTTGTTTAAATTATATATTGTACATTTAGTTGACATGACAATGACGCGTCAAGGTCGTGCGAGTGACACAAAATTTCGACCAATTAAAAAATCTGTAAAAGAAATATCGGTAACTTGCCCATCTATAGTGGACAAGTCTTTATCCTGCGATTCTCCTTATTCATTTGATAATCTCTTAGATGATATAACATCTGAAATATCCGTCAGTAGATATGTTAGGAATTTGAAATCAATGAATAACACTCAAAAGTTAGACGAGCTAGAAAGCATCTTAAGCTCACATCGAGAAACTTTGAATACAGATTATGAGTTCATTTCATCACTTCTTAAGAAAAATGAGGCTCTTCTGAAGGAGAATGCTAACCAAGTAAGAGATGTTATTTTATTCCGAATCATTGGAAAAATTTTCAAAATTTCCAAATTACTCATTCACTGATGAATTACTTTTATTTTAATTTTCTAGCGTTTTTTCACCAAGCCAAGTATTATCAAAGTTATTTAGTTTAAAGTAATTAATTTTGAAATGTTGAGTTAATTTCTATTTGGCTCCGCATGGCTGACAGAAAGGAGTGATTATTGAGATACGGCAGACAGACTTTTCCGCACAGTCAACGCGGTGATGACGTAAGAATTACGTCCCGAATTCATGTCATCAGAAATTCTCAATACGGTATGGGCTTATTCCCGAGAGTCACTAATATTCATGTGATTTGAAAGTTGGCCGCTTTTGATTTCTTTGTCAGTACTACCAACCATTATGATCTCTTATCCTTCCAAGCACATTTGGTGATATGTAGTCACTACTTGAGGGGAATAGTTCCATAATTTTCAAATGATCGCAAAGGAAGTTTGTAAAATAATCCTCTAAGAATGCCATACAAAGCGCCGCTCTAGTATGAAGTTTGGCAGTTACAAGTTAGAGCCATTGGGTAGATGGACAGTATAGTGCATAATGCCCAGTCAGACTAAAAGGATGAAAAAATGGGTAGATAATAGGCAAATAATGGTCGCGGCCTATAGTAAGAAGATGGATAAATTTTGGTTTTATAACAAGGTTTTTGTCATTTGACTATTAATTGCCCAATATTTCGCCGAAATTCCTCCCCCTGCGACCACTATTTAACCAACTTTCTACCGTCACTTCACCATTGTTACTATTTGCAGAGATTCTGCTTAGTTTGACTATAACTTGACTATTCTTTGTTCACTTTTGTCCAACTGGTTGATTATTTTTGTGCTTATATTTGGAAAAATATTAAAGCGATTGTCCCATTCTTCAATGCTCTATTCTTTCAGCATATTTTCGGTACGTTATTGAGCTTTTTGAAGTAGGATGCTAACTTTTTGTACTCAGGCTTATTATTTGACAAAATCACATGCAGTTTGTATTATCTGCAATTTTTCCCTAGAGAAAATCAGCTATTCTGTATACTGAGTCTGATAGTTGCCAAAACTGTGGACGCTTTCAGTGCACGCACCTAAATTACCTTTTGAAACAACAAAACAATGAATCTATTTTTGATTGGGTCCTTCAGTAACATATTTATGCGATCATTAATATGAAAATGAATTACATTTTATAAGATTTCTCGGTACGCCTTAATTATTTTTCTGTTGAAGAAAGAGACGTGTATCTTTGGGTTCTCAGGAGCTTTTGATCATAGAAAGACACCGATGAATTCGACTAAAATAGAGAAAATAATAATTGTACATTATGACTTGCTGAAACCAAGTACGGATCTTTGCTGGATATCTTGGTTCTGCAAGACGCGATTAATAAACGGCTTATCCCCATAAAAATTTTATAAGCATTAGCTGATCTCACATATTATGACTTTTGGTGCACGACGACTCACTAAATGCTTTAGAAGTATGCATTGTTGCAAAATATAGAAACTAGTGTTCACAGTAAGCTCAGTAAAGCTTTCACAATTTTACACTTATTGAAAAAGTATAGGTCTTAGGAGACATGTTGCCAGATGCAGATGGCACCTAAAACTCCTTGAAAAACAAGAAATCTTCAACAGTTTCTCTTCCTCACTCTGGGATTCTTTCTGAAATAGACATTACTTATCGCAAAATAGAAAGAAGCCGCAACTCATAGGATTTTAACCCAGTAGCTGAATGACAGTGTATTTGTCTCACATTAACAATAACTATTACTTACACATATGCAACATCTTACACTTGTTATTGATTCACAAATCCATGTTCATTGGTCGAAATTTTTTGTATGCACCATCATGTACATTTTTTTCCTTCACGTTCCCCAGTGGAACATAGGGCTTCAAGCTAGTGGCTTGAAGTTTCTGTAGTAGTGGTTATTTTTCAGGATGGGGTTGCTAACTTCATGCTTGACCTTTCCTCTTTATCAGCATTAATTCTGGCTTAGTGAGGTAAAGAAGTGCGTCGGCCGGGAATCGAATCCAGGACAATGTGTATGGTCGGCGAGCATCCTAACCTCTATGCCACCGACGCGTCATGTACATTAGAGTAAAGTTTTGTGAATATCTAGTTGAAACAATATTGTTCGCTATATGTATTTTTTGAATTATGTCACGTTTACTTTGTATTACATGAGAAGTGGACAACTATAAATCCAGTATAATCAGGTTAATCATTTTGCGAATAAGTGATCTATCTATTCGTAATTCACCATAACATGTCATCCGGATTTATACGAAACATTAATTACCTATCGGAACAGTAGGCTTTGAAAAAATGACCACTTAAGGTTACTAATTTTAACATATCTTTTAAGTTAGCAGCGGGTTAACGCAAATAGTACCGTTACTCCCAAACATTGTGATCACTCATCCATTTAGTAATCCGTCATAAAGCCTGATATGAATATATTAGTACACAGAGAATAGACGCATATAAGTAATTTATCTCCTACTTGAACGATGCTGACTGGTTTTATGGAAATTATTAGGCAGAGAATGGTAGAACTCTAAGTCCCTTGTGACATTTTTATTGGTCTTTGGCATCTATTCCACTGGCCTTGTCCGTATTATGATGATGTTTCAGGAATAACTGCTTATTTATAACTGTGAATGGTTTCACTTTTCTGTACGTATTTTTCATATGTCCCTTGATACCTTCATTACTACAGCCCATTCTGACTGACGTATTATGAAATTAATGTAATTATTAATTTATGGAGTGCGTCGGTGGCATAGTGGCTAGGACACTCGCCGACCATACACATTGCCCTGGGTTCGATTCCCGGCCGACGCACTCCTTTACCTAACTAAGCCAGAAATAATGCTGGTAAAGAGGAAACGTCGGGCATGAGGCTAGCAACTCCATCCTGTAAAATTAAACACTGCTACAGAAACTTCAAGCCACTAGCTTGAAGCCCTATGTTCCAGTGGGAACGTGAAGGAAAAAAATTAATTTCTAGAACCATCGGAACAGATTCTTGTGAGATGGTAGTAAATGGTATAGATACCGTCTCCTAAGATGAGGTCGAAGTCAGTCAATCAACTACATTTTGTCCTAATATCATTTGTATCATATCCCAATGTGAAGTGAACTGGTTTTATGAATTTTAGATTACATCCTGTTTCGTTTTTTTTAGAAACTGACAATTAAACAACAAGCCATTCAAATTCAGCTGTTAGAAAATAAACTGAAAATGTTCTATAATAATCAATCGGAAATCGGTACAAACACATTGGAGTCAAGAAAAATTGATATCTTAGAAAAATGCTGTGAAAAATTACAAAAGCAGGTAAATCCTGTAGGAAGAATATTTATTCGAAATAATTTTTTGTGTAGATTTTTGAAATGGAAGAATTTCTTCATGATCACGGTTTGATGTGGATTGGAGTGCAACCTTCAGACGACTGTACAACAAGTAACACTGGTAGTAAAACTGAAATAAGTGAGCAGTTGAATTTATCACTTTTTCTTTATTAAATATTTCCACTTTCCTTTTTTTTTCTTTCGCCTAACTTATAATTAAAGAATTTGATGAAAGTGTCTTCAATCGCTTAATCCAACAAATTCATTCGTTGAATAAATGGATTGAACGTGGATGTGAAAAGAAAATCATTTCACAGTCAACTTCATCCAACATAGCTTGTTTAAGAAATGAATCACCAGTACCAATTGTTTTATATGCAGATGGATTATGCTTTAATTCTGAACCATTTCGTTTATATAAAAGTCATGCTACACTGCAATTTATTCAAGTAATTTGATGTTTGCTGAATATTTTTTAAACTTTAGTTTTAATTTTACTCATTTGACTACATTGTTGAGACTCTCTTGCATTAGAGTAATTTTATCCCTAGACCCTTCATCGCTCCCTTTATTTGTTTCTCTTTGTGTGTATACTGATAAGAATTGTTCCAGGTAACACTGTTCATCTATGATAGGGATGGAAATCTTCAAAAACGCAAAATATCATCTCTAAGAACAGTCTAGAATAGATAATGGTGCCATTTTTAATAAATGATGTGAAAAAATGAACTTTCATTATCAAATTAGCTATTAAAAAGTTTATATGAAATAAATATGTCAGTATTTGAAGCGGTCTTTGACTGGTGCTCACTGTGACATACTGGACTTTTTACCTAATTTATTCATCTCTCAAATATCCGTTAAACTATCTTGGATTTAGTGACCAGGTTTATCATTTACCCATCAAAATTTTAGATATTTCATGTAGCTTAAAAGTAGATTTATATTGTTCGCTTGCAAACAGCTAAGAAAACACTTGAAGGCAAAGATGATAACATTTATTAATGGTGCTGTTTGAGAACTTCACCTGATACTGTTAGCTTTTAGTTATATTTATATTCTTCCTTCGTATTCTATAATCACCGTCTTACGTCTTGTCGTTCAGATGTTTTAATTATTCAGCTGTAAAGCGCTTTATCTATTTTTAAAATAATTGGTTTTCGTGATGTATTTCTTGTTTATTGCGCACTAAGCGGAAGTTATTTTCATGTACAAAAATGAGTAGTTACAAATTAGGAAAGAGGAAAGGTTTATTATAAAAATGATCACAGGAAGTACACTGACCGTAGCTATCAGATATTCTCTTGGTATTAATGACCTCATATAGAAGGACGATATCGGATACACTGAATACACGACCAATTAAGCATCGATATTATGGTTACATGCTTGCCATTATAACAATTTGAGCAAAGTACGAGCTTATGAAAGCTGTCTTGTGTAGTTGTAAGGATAGCCTCCTAGAGGAAAGTAAGGAGACGTTACAGTAATTTTGTCTTCTTACTTGTTCATCTGAAGATTGCAATTTATCCTCAGAAGCAGCAACCACGCTAATTTTGTAAAATATTAGATCTAATGTAATCACATAAATAATTTCAAGGACGATGAAGCTAAATGTGCGTAACATGTCCCCAGACTATTCAAAACACAGAGACAGCTTAACGGAACGCATATGAAAAATCAGCCTCATTTATTTTAATATCCGAGCAACATTCAGAATATAGTAAGTTTTAGTTGAAAGCCCATAAATTCCACCACAATGACATATAATTTCCATATATTCAAACTGTTTTAGTTTTCAGTTGAAAACTTGAATAATGGAGGAGATTTGTAGCTCAATTGTAGTGTAGTCTGAGAAGGATGGTTTAGTTAAGAAGCTTTTATTATTCTTGTAAACATTCTCAATACTAATTCCATATTGAATTAGGACAAATGAATCCGCATAATAGATGTATCATTGCGCAAGAAATTGTATTTTTACAGAACAATAGATGGTAGCGCTTATTTTATAATCACATTTTCCTCACCTTTTTTATACGGATCACTGAGTACTTTTTAAACAAAACTTATTTATTAGATTATTATTGTCAAACAAAAAACGTAACATTGTTTTATCACTTTTGCAGGATATTTTAGATGGTTATTTCCCATCGGAATTACAATCCCGTTATCCAAATGGTGTTCAGCTTAAACTGATCGATAAACATACTGTGCAATTTATGTCATTGAAGAAACCTAATCCATTTCTATCCTCTGGGTATAAATTGGGAAGTCTATACAATTCACTAGCAGATGAATCCAACGAAGATTATGATATTTCTAGCCATGAGAAGTTTATGCCAAACAATGAAGAAAATGGTATCACTCTTAAACAGTAAGCATAAATTCTTTTCGCATCGTTGATAAACCTCGTTCACTGTATGAGTTACTCTTCGAAGAGCTATTTCTCAATATAATTCATTTCTACACTGAGTTAGTGGTGACCTAAATATAATAGTGATAAGAAATGTCAACTCAACACAACGAGATGTAAGTTAAAATGTCTAAGGTGAAGTGAGTTCTGCCACAAATATGTATACATATGCGTTAATAAATATCAAAATAATAACAAGTTTAGGTAGCCCAACATCCAGACAGGCCACCTGTGTATGAGTTGAAGGTACATCAATCAAAGCTTTCTATTAAAGTATAGAAAGGTGAAGATGTGCTATATTTGTCCGAACCAAGTTAAATTTTAATAGCTTGATGAAATTTAGACATTAGGCATATGATACTCACTATTATAAAAGTTCTTGTATTTCCCAATGAATGAAAAACAAAACGATATCTTCTTTACTGACGTTTCGCTACCTAATGCCAACAGCTTTATCAAAGTAATTTTTATTCCTCCACGTCCCCAGTGGAACACAGGACTTCCAACTAGAGGCTTGAAGTTTTGGTAGCAGATGTGTTTATTTTTACAGGACGGGGTTGCTAGCTTCGTGCCCAGCCTTTCCTCTTTACCAGCTTTTTATCAAAGTTACATTAAACCAGGATTTACAAAATCTCAGCTTATATACAGCAGTTTAATTACGTTCCTTCAGCATGAGGTAATTTTTTATTCCGTCAGTTTGTTCAATTGATAAAGATAACAAAACTATGTCCAGATTGTTGGATTCAATGAATGCATGTGTTTTCATGGTGAAATTGCTTATCACATTTGTGTCGACTTTGTCACTTCGAATCCAACAATCTGCACATAGTTTCGTTACCTTTACCATTTCACCAATCTAACAGAGTAAAAAATTACCTCTTGCTGAAGCAAGATGATTAAATTCTGGTTTAATATTACTTTGATAAGGCTATTAGCATTAAATAGCGAAACGTTAGTAAAAAAGATACTATTTTGTTGTTCATTCATTGGAAAATACAAAAACTTTCATAATAATGAAGATAGGTCATTTCATTACGACCGAGTAAATCCCATGAACAGATATTAGTTAATATTTATGATGAAGCAGTTGCTAACCATTTGGTATGACTTAGCCTTCTATTTCACAATAAAAGATTGAAAATTGATCAATGACATTAGGGTTGATCTTTTATAAATGAAAGTTTTTGGAATACCCACAGTTCGCAAGTAGGTATTTGCCATCTAAAAAGATTTCAAAAGAAATCTCACGTATCAGCAGGGATACAATCAAGGAAACTGTGATATTTTTACTAAGAGTGCATCCTACTGGCTGACTTAAGCTTCATTCTAAAAATGTTTTCAATTTTTGTATCTCTTGCAGATACTTATGTTCGATTTTCGCCTGATTCTACCAGAGTCATGTGATAGTTGAAACTTTCACTACGAAAAGTCACTTTAGTAGAATCAGTGTAATGGACTTTTTAAGGGGCTTTTGTTGGTTTGTTGCAAGTAGGTAAAAGTGTTATGTACTCAACATTTAGTCAATAGATAAATCATTCAAACTGAAAGCTGAACAGCTTGTTAGTACTAGAAAAAAACAAAACATATTGACTAAATTCACCTTTTGAGCCGTCTTTGTTATTTATAGGATCTAAGACTTTTCACTGACAACACTTTCTGAGCAAGTTTCATGTACTAAGACTCAGAAACCAAAATAAAACCTTAGTTTTCCGAAATGATGTTAAAATTGGTGTAGACAAAAGACAATTAGTTCAGAGAAGAGTCTCTTTTCGGCGAATTCATTTTCATAGCTCTACAATCGCAAATATATACGGTTGTTTTGTGTGTGTGTGTGTGTGTGTGTGTATACATTAAATTTGTCAAACGAAAATACAATTAGTAAGTTCAGATGAATTGGATGTTGATATAAGAGGGTAATAACAATAGTGATGAGTTGTCACAAACGATTGGTGTAACTACACAAACATTCCAGACTCGCTCATAATAAATTCTACAAAGGATCGAGTTTGCAGCTGGATAAAATCCAGGTCAAGTTGCACAAGTTACTGGGAGAGGTATAAAGGGTTATGATACTATAGTCAATGTAGTACCTTTCAACAGCGTGAGTGACAAAATACATAAACACAAAGTTTACTACTTCTTTTTAATAAGTAGTATAAAATTAAAATACAAAACTACATTGGGAAGAATTTATGATGTCCATTAGGCAGGAAAATAAATAAATTAGGTTTGAGAAATGGAAAGTGATATTATTATTATTATTATATCAGTTAGTAGAGTTTTGAGGGTTAGTTAACTCTCCTTCCACTTAACTTCTTATATACTGATTCTTTTTTTAGGGTTGGAAATCAATCAGATGAAGAAATGAATAATTTATTGAGTGAACTCATTCCACACGAACCGTTAACGTTTGATGATTTATTAAAACGCTTACCAGAGTGTAAAGTGACTAAATCTGGTCACATAATAAATGTTAGAAAAGATATAAAAGATGAATATGGTGGACGTGGTATTATTCCAACAATCAGTAATATTGAAACAGATCATTTAATAAAAGAACACATAAAACATGATGATCAAATGAAGTTGAATGACCTGATAACATTAAGAGTATATTCAGAAAATGGTTCAGAAATATTCAATTTAAAAATGCATCCAATGAATACAGTAGAGGAGTTATATTCAATCCTTAATTCTGCTAGAGCAAAAAGTGTTTCTACACTTAATAGATCTTATCGTCTTGTAGCTATGGGTACGCGTAATTCCCATGAAAATTCAAATCAACTGTGTTATCGACAATCTTTAGTTGACTTATCAGCAAAGCTTAAAGAATGTGGAATAGTAGGTCGTACTACACTACGTATGGAATATCATCCATATAAACTGACAACACATCAAACACAGATTGATGTAAATAATCTTTTGTCAACTCAACAGAACAATCTATGGAATCATACAGAATCAATAGTGTCTAACCAAAGATACAAAGAATCTTTGAATAAATCTGTAAGATCGTCTGAATAAAACTGAGCGTTTAACAAGTGACTTGTCTTATCACAAGAAAAAGAAATGTGTTAGAAAATATTTTAATGTGTTCCCCTTTTATGTTATTTCTCATAATAAATAATTTAAAAAGTAAATTCTATCTTTTATTATATCACTGTGAAACGTTTGTTTTACAGAAACGGTATTTTTCAAACTGAAATGTTTGTTTTCAGTGCATCAGAGTTTTAAAAGTTTCGTTTGATATCAAATGTATAAATGGTGATAGAATTTCTGATGAACAGGAATAAATAAATAAATAAATTCATCAGAAACAATAAGTATGCAGGATAACAAGAAAGGTTTTTACACTTTGATCTTAGTACAACTGAACTGTAATGACAACTGATCAATCCCCTTCTGTTTTGTGCTATATTAGATTAACCAGTTACTTAAACTGTGAATAGGGTCACAGTTAATTATCCTCTCTTTATGTCTCGTCTATTCTTATGCGCAGTAGTTTGTTCAAATTTCTTTTATTGTACTTCTTCGAAACGTGGCAACTATAAACTATGTAGTTTTAAGCGAGATTCATTGCTGATAAATTAGTCAATTATTATGTCGACATTAGAAGTATCTTTTTTATAAACGATGAGTAGAATGCTGGAGTTTCTTTCACTTTCTCATCCTTTTAACATTACTATTCCTATTCACATAGAACTAATCAAATCAGGATATGAAAATCCACATATATTTATGGATCACTAATGGAGTATAAAGTCTATCTTTACTCTAACTTTACAAACACTGTATTTTAACCTACAGTAAATTTTTATTTAATTTTCAAGAATTAGCGCATAGGGATTGCATTTGTTACAAGTTCGACCACGGATTGATATCAGTTAGAGAACCATTGAAAACCAGGGAGTATTGGACAGCTGTTTAATCCTAGTTTAGGAATCATCGACCATACGCACCTCCACTGGAGTCCGAAACCAGGACCTTCAGGTTACAAGGTAAGCTTGTATACCATTCAGCCACCGGGACACGATTCCATGGCACATGAATGCCACCTCCTACCATTTCGTGATTTTAGCGCGACCACCACCCAATGTCGTTAGCGGGAAATTCATCATCACTCCTCACTGGATGGACCTCACTCGAACTCCAGACAACTTCATCCTGTAATCAGTCACTTGAAAGCGTCACATTAATTTTCAAGAGTTGGTTTGTAGAGTTCGTATTTGTTTCAGTTTATTTAAGTTTAAAAGAGTCAACGATCCAGGCTAAAAATCGAATCTCTATCCCACTAAGTATATTTCGATTCTTCATACCTAACTTTACAGATTCAGTAAATATCTATTATTGTCAATCACATGATCTTGAAAAACATCAATTTCTTTTTTTAATGTCCTAGCTTCAAGTAAATTCTGTTACTCCAATGAAATTAATAGATATTCTGTTAGTTCTAGCATAAAACATCTCATTTTGTTGTAAACGTTTCGTCTGTAACCAAAACAGCTAGCAATAACAGTGTTAATAGTAGCGCTGTGAAGTCCCATCTTTGAAGTTTGACTGAACTTTGATTTTGATTCATATATTCCTCAGAAACTTCACTAAAACTCTTAAAACTGTCAGTAAAATATGACGTTTGATTAAAACTTAATAAAAATAAGTAGTTCAGGTGTGACTAATCATTTGCAACACTTAACTTCTAAATAATAATTATTATGCAAATGAAATACGTCTAGCCTGATTCAGAAAAGTTGTATTTATGAATAGTGTTACACTTTAATGAAATACCTTTCGATGTTCCTACCAAATTAAAATACTGTCATTCTCGCAAATGTATCTATAATATATTGTTTTTGGAGCTTCTGCATATTGTAAGAATTCTTCTTAAACTTTTAGAAGAAGTTCAGATTAGCAACCATTACTGTTTATAGTTATAAACATGAGATTACCTGAGATAGCAGACTAACCTTTGAACCAAACTAAAATAAAATGCAGTTCATCTAACCTGTGCATTTATCTCCACATATTGAGCAATGAGGTACAATTATTGTCTTTTTGACTGTAAAATATTATCCATTTAAACAAGTCTAAGTAGGTGGAATGTAATTAAAACTTATAACTGCTTAACTATGATTTAATTATTGAGGACAACGAGTTATACCACCTTACACGTATCTTCGAGAATATCTACCTGTTTTCTAAAGCGTTTACACGCCGTCAATTCCACATAATGAATTGTGTTGTGTGGAATAAACTTTTGTGTGGTAAAAGAGAAGACAGATGTATTTCTTCTCTATTTATTTTAAGATTATTCAGTTTGAAATGATCTAAGCCACCATTCTATTAAGAGAAAATTTCTATTTGTGCTGATATACATTTGAAATTTATTTATTAGGAATTTTTAAACAAATATTTCATTTTCTATGAGTGCACAGCTTTAAATAGTATCAACAGCGTTTTGTGTAAGGCTACTGTTGATTGACAGAGTTGGCTATCATAAGTTAGTGACATACAGTTTCTCTTGTAATCGATGCTAAGCATGTAATAATCTAAGTAATATAATATAAATGGTTTTATAACTATTTCTTCTTCAATACTAACTTTACGTCCCACTTTATATTAAGGTAACCGAAGTAATGGAGCCTATATGGTCAAGAGAAAATATACGTGCACTACAGAATTTGCTTACAGATCCTGAAGAAAGAGAAAATGGTAGTGATCATGACGATGTAGGTTAAATGTTCAATTTCTCATTATCTTTCGCTTTCTCATTAATTAAATGAATTGTTTTACTACGATGAAAATAAACCAGAGGCAGATATTTTCGCGTGTAAATTGAAAGTAATTTTCTTCATAAAATGATATTAGTCAGGGAAACATCGGACAGGGTTTTTGTCCGAAATTCGAATTCCTTGGTAGTGTTGAGTTACATTCCAATTAATGTCTCATGTAACATTTCTCATTGTCGCAGTTTTCATACAGTTTATGGTAACAAACGGACACAGTAGAGTGAGACTACAACCTCCACATTTTTAAAAGAAGTGGTTAAAATAATTTACTATAAAGAATAATTAATTTCTCAGTTTTCAAATTCTATACACTGTGAGCTTTTCCTTTGCAGTTTTCCTTACAAGATTATAATTCTGTCATTAAAATTCAACTTTTTCAATAACTGATATATACGACAGAATATTAATCATAACAGGAATTAATAATTGAAATGAGAAAAAACTTTGATTAGCAGTGGGATGAAGTCGTATCGATTTGCAGACAGCCTGCCTGCCTGCTTTTGACACAGAACTTTGTACCGATGTGCACCCGTTCAAGTCGCCACACTCCCTTCATGTACCACACAAAGGAAGAGAAGAAAGCAAAAAGGAATGCAAAATAGACACAGTAAACAGAGGTGTGAGACAAAGGAATAGTAGTAACGAAGAACAAAACAGTTTCATTCGAAATCATAAGTCACAAGGAGTGGATGCATCTGCGCTAGTCATTGAGAACGATTTTGAGCCATGTCACCAATAGTTTTCAACCATTGGTTTTTACCGTCCCGAGAACCCCGACCAGGAAGCCAGCCTACACCTTCCTACATGGCTTAAACTAACTGTTGTGGATTTCATTGACTGGCGCCATGTTTTGGTTTGACCGTCACTGGCTCTCTTCCAACCTGATCCATTCTATGCCAGCTAACATTGCCCGTTGTCGAGGAAGGCGATGACTAGGCATACGTAACACATGTCCTAACCATCTCAGCCCCGTCGATTGATTTCCACTCCTTACCTAGCACTCGACGCCTAACCTCAATATTGCTCATCTTATTATACCACTTCACACAGAGATAGAGCACAGGCACCTATGATCAAAGACAGCTAATCTTTTCATATCTTCCACTCTCAATGGCCAGGTCTCACAGCCAGTCATGAAGGAGAACGGAGCGACTGCTGAGCAGCAGACAGAAAATAATCAAAACATTCGACATTTCATCCAGCAGACTTAGAACGCTAGAAAGTAGACTATATTTACCAGCATAGTGGATCTCGTACTGCCTATGAGAACTAGTATCTTAGTTATCCACTGCCTGATGGTAAGTTTGATCTCTTCTGCACACAAAACCAGACTTCCAGTGTGATGCAGATGTGTTTTACTGATAAGTGACAACAAGCAACAGTTTTTGATTAAACCGGGCTTACTTATTATTATTAATTATCCCTTGGGTTCCGAGCGAGAAATCGGTCTTTAGCAGGAAATCTCCATTGCATTCTGTTCTCTGCTATCTTTTTCAGCTGTTTCTAAGTTTGTCCACAAGTTTTTATTTCCTTCCACATGATTTAACATACTACGACTGATAAATAACATCTAAACCTAGCTGTCGGTTGTTAATTTAATCAGTAAACGTATAACTAACACTTAGAATTATACCACAGTCTTGACATTACCATTTACTAACTATTAGATGCTATTTATTTGTATTATTTGATTTTATGACACATTATCATGCATGATATTTTGTCTCATTTAATAGGCTGTCACTCCAATGTCTAAAATAAAACCAAGCGATATTGGTCCCAAGCCTAAATCTAATGGTTTGTATCTCGTTTCAACTAACCAAATGGTCGTATTGAATTTATTTAGTTAAAAAGGAAAAACCTATTCAGAAAGCAAAAAATCCTGATGATATCTGGGATGCTGATAAATACCAGAAGGAACACAATATGAAGATATATATGATCCGCGACCTCAGCCTAAGTAAGTAGTGCCATCATTTGATGAGAGATATTTTTCTATTTTTCTAGCACCAATGACTCCTTAGAAAAAGAATTGTTTCTCATTCGTAATATGCAGATTGAAATGAGTTATTCTAATAGATTTATTAGGAGACACCTAAATAAGGTGTGCAATAAACTTAAACCATCCACAGTTAAAAGAAGAAACGCTTGTTCATGAAGTTGTCCTCTAAAGGGGACGTGGACAGTGAATATCTGCCCGAAAGATTGTCCAACACAATTCAAAGAATTTAAAGTGCTACCATTCTCTGTTTGTGTTATGTATATGTATTTAGAAATTTAGCTTCGCTTGTGAAGAATACGACATAGGATGAACAATTAGGATACTTAAAAGAGGCATTCATGAGGACATCTCTTCATGAGTTAGGGAAGTTTCAATGATATCATTGAGGAAGTTTCATTTTATCTCATTGGATTAATGGTAGTCGCTAAGTGGACAGGTTTTTTTATATTACTCTATCAAAGCTTCGAAGGGAACTGAACTCCTCTTTTACACATAGCTGAATCCTTTGGAATTAGAAATAACAAGCCCTTCTTTGACATTTCAAAAAATTTGCTCTACCTTTGTGCTTCACTTAGTCGAGGTGAATGTAATAATTAAGTAAATCTGCACTTAAACTTCTCATCCCTTTCATACTTTTCTCATATTTAGTTAAACTTTAGTCTTTTATATCACTAGCTAGTTTAGTTAATGAAATGTGTACATTGCCACGATATTTTCCCTTATTATTATCACCACCTGCGTAAGCTCATTGTATCTTCCTTATCATTGATACTGTTATTATTTATAAATAGAGTTTATATTACCAATTATCTTACGATTGGAATAATTTAAAACATTTAACATTTATCATTGACCCAGAAATAACCATCGTTAATTAGAGTTCTCAAGTATATTTAAGCCTAGTAAATAACAGCAAGGCTGGAAGGTCTGATTGAACACAATAGTCATCACTTCTTTTAATTAATCAAATGGAAAAACAAATTTATGTCCACTGAGATGTCCTTTTGTTGTATGAAAACCAGATAATCTTTTGTGATATGTTGGTTCAGTGTTAGGATTATTGATTTCTCTTGAGAAATCCAGAAATAAAATAATCAACAGACTTGATTACATAAACAAAACTATCGAGTTATGCGAAAATTCAGAGCTTATGATTTGCTTAATGTAAGGCATTATATTGATAGATGATAGTAATAATAATAACAAATCACAAGCCTGAAATTATAAGTTGTATGGCCATCAAAAGCATTTACAAGAACCTTCATCAATAAGGCAAACTGCACAGCTCTGTAAAAATGATATAAACTCGAAAATTGAAGTACACGTGGATTTACAAAGAAAGATAAAAAAGAACAAGGTATGTATACAAGAGATATATAACGTGTACAATTTAATCATATTGTAAGAATTACTACACGCAGGACGGAATGTTAGAGTACCAAATGAGATACATTTCCACCTAAAATTAACAGTTTTCATAGTCCTATATTAACACTGTAATAAGAACATAGTTCATACTACTTAAAAATAGTAAGTAGTATAAGTTAATACAGAGAAAGCATGGGTAGTTAGAAGTTATTCCGGGAAAGAATAATAATAATAGTAGCTTTATTATGCACAATTTTCGGCGTAGTTTTTTGCATTATATTTTCGACCAAGTTAAACTTTAAGCCATTTATAAAGTTATGTTTGTAAAATCTTAGCAAAATTGAAATTATTAATTCCAACGTTTCGTTCGGCAATCTCGTCCGAACTTCTTCAGGGAAATTAAACTTTAAGCACCACTAACTACCAATCAGCGAATGACCTCGAATAGTCCAATGAGGTTCATCCACGTAAGTTAAAGGTCGTGTTGCGCTTGATTCGCGTCAGATACCTGCTCTAACAAAGTTACACTTGCAATTCGATGAGGATAAGGTTTTGCAGTATTGTCTGGGTTTGGGGTTGTTTAAGAAGGAGAGGACTTGTTCATGTGGAGTTTAAGAACCTTTAGCAGGTCGATTGATGGATATGTACATCGTTGTGCAATTTGTTTGAGACGAGTTAGTATTAGGAAAGGTAAGCTGATAATTGTAATATTTCGTCGGAACATTTTTTGCTAGGTCACATCTCTCCATAACCCAGATTTTGTATACTTGTAACCACTGGGTTTGAAAACAGCCTGTGAGAGGCGCAGCTACTGAAACTGAAAATAGTTTTGCGTCAACAGTTCAGTGGTACCAGCACTGCAGAGATATCGCATCATGGCGAATGTAGAGAATTACTTCGTTGTTAGGCGGTGAAGGGGTCGTCGTACATGTGGACGAAACTGTTGTATTGAAGAAAAAATAGCCGTGTCCGTGAGTAAACCAATGTTTGGGTGATCGGTTTATATGGCACCTCCCTGCTAAAAGGATTCATGGAGAGAATACCGGACAAAGTCAACTACTTTAATACCTATTATTACTAGACTTGTGAAACAGGGATCTAGAGTACATACTGATAAATGGAAAGGCTATAACTCGTTGTCATCTCTTGGATATATTCATCACAGAGTGCACCATTCCAGTGATTTTGTGGATCCAATTACAGGGACACACACAAATTCTATAGAAGGATTTTGGGGAAGATTGAAAAATAGGATTAGGGCTATAAATGGATCTCAAAAGTATGTCATTTATAATCATTTGGATGAATATATGTGCAGAATGTGGTGTAACTGCCTATCGACACTCCTATGCTAAACTGGGAGATGTTTCTGTCACATGTTAGGGAAGGATAGCCTATGTAACAGTTTTATGCATTTTAACGGTTTTTTTTCATAAATATACGTTTTCTATGATCGAAAATCCCCCTTTCATGTGACTGGTCCGTTGAAGGTCGTTCACTGATTGGTAGTTAGTGGTGCTTAAAGTTTAACTTTGTCATATTTTCTCTTCATCCAAAAGTTTCAAGTAAAACAGCCATCTCCAGCATATAGTGTGACGCAGTGATGTTAGATATGAAGAATAAAATAATCCATTGTGGTGTTTGCCTTTGGTCCCACAGAAAAGGTCAACGATAGGCTGCAAATCAGTTAAAAGTGTGCACAAGCACATCTGGAGACCCGTGGATATAACTGGATGATTGTAACGAGGAGTCGGTTAGCACGCTAGCCGACCATGCACGTGGTCCGGGTTCGATCCCAGGCCGACGCACACCATTACCTCTCTAAGCCAGTAATAAAGCTAGTAGAGAGAGAAGGTTAGGCATGAAGCTAGCGACCCCATCCAGTAAAAATAAACACTGCTACAGAAACTTCAAGCCTTCTAGCTTGAAGCCCTATGTTCCACTGGGAACGTGAAGGAAATAAAAAAGTACATCTGGAGATTCACGGATATGACTGGATGATTGTAACAACAAGAACTAAAGGAAATAAGATGAATTCTATCGGTTAGAAGTTCAGGCAGCCCAGTGATTCAAGCAGGTCACCAGTTATTAGGAGTCAAGCTTAGAGTACCAACAGGATGAAACATCAGAGAATTCTGATAAATTACATTAATTAATGTACATATCTACCGTCGTGATTATTTATCAAGACTACAAAATATTATTTTAGCTAAATGTTTACAGTTTATAATAATGGAAGATGTTGCATGTTTTAGCTTTCCTGTTTATTTAAAACTTACTGCTAGGATGTGTATGCAAAGTGGAAAAAAACACTCTTACTATCACACTCACACTTGATTGGTATGGAATTTAATTGCTTTTCCAATAAGCTGCTCTTCTGTATATTTTTTCAGCCTGCTTAAATCACTGGGCTACCTAAATTTTCTATCCACTTGAATTCATCTTATTGTATTATTATTTTATCCTTTAATTCCTAGAGGAACATAGGGCTTCAGCTGCGCGTCTCCATTGCCTTCTGTTTTCTGCCAACTTTTTCACCCCGCTCCAAGCCTGCCAACATGCTTTCATCTCCTTCTCACATGACCTCCTCCAAGTCACCCTTGCACTGATGACCAACTCGCCGCTTCCCTTTCGGGTTCCACTCGAGCAATGACTTCTGTAGTGATGTCACTTGATGGTTTCCTCAGGCGTATGGCCAGCCAATCCATCTCCATTTCTTCCTGCCTATTTGTTTCACATTCGGTTCCTGGTTGGTTGGTTCGCTCATTGCCAGAGATCCCTGTTGCTAATCTTTTCTGGCCGGCCATCTGATCTTGAGTATTGAGCGAAGACAACTGTTAATGAAGGTCTGTAGTTTGTTTGAGATGCTCTTTATGACGCGCCAAGTCTCTGATCTGGATAGCAAGTAGCACTGACTTCACATTGGAGTTGAAAATCCGGATCTTATTTTTGATGCTGAGTGGGGCTGTTGACCGCCTGCACACAGACTTGAGAGTAATGAAAGCTTGTCTTGCTTTTCCGATTCTGGCTTTGATATCCTCGTCAGTTCCGTCCGCCTGTAGTTGAAACGATGCTTCCAATGTCGGTAGGTAAAGAAGGTTGTTTCTTTCAGGTTCCTCCCCTTTATGCTGGCTGATTGTTGTCTGTTGTTGTTGTTGGTGGTGGTGGTGGTGTTGGTATTGACCAGGAATCTTCATCACCTCTGTTTTCTCTATGTTCACCTGAACTCCTCCCTATCTTTGATGCTTTTCGTGCCAGCTTGTTGCTTTTCACTTGCATATCTTCCAGTTTGTGGGAAATCATCTTAGTTAGTACATTTTATTTCGTTTTAATCATGCAGTTCTATCTAATAATCTCAGCCGCATTTTTAAATAGGTGTCAACCTATTGCTATGAATTTGCTGGCGGAAATAGAGGAGAAACATCATGGATTATTGGAGCACGCCTCGGATAAAACAATATCACTTCATTTGATACATTATCGTTCATTACTATTACTTGATGATTCCTCACAGGGAGTAAATACCCTGCAAAAAGACAACTGTTGAAAATTCTGTATTGTTTATAAAAGCACTTTTCAAGATACACCTGTCATTATTATTAGTAATGTAGCAACTTAGTCGTCATAAAAATCCGTAAGTCACAGATCACATAGATGCAAACAAAACTTAAGAAAGAAATTGTATGTCTATTGTGATAAGAACACTTTCAATCACTTGATTTCTACGAAGAAAAAATAGAAACTCCGAATATTGAAAAAAAGCTAATTTTTGTGTGTTTTTATTAATGTTATATAACAGATATGAGATAATGTATAGACAAGCAGTAACATCTGAAGATATTTATCTACAACTCGGAAGAAAAAATCCAACAACAGCCAGTTGTGAATATATGGTGGTAAGTAAGATTGTTTAATTATGTGATTTGTTTGAAAAATTTCAAAATAATTTAAGCTCAGATTGTTGGAAAGACAACATTCTTCCGCTTATCTTCCTCATGAACTATTCTTTGACGAGAATTTCTAATATAAACAGTGTTAATCCCAAGACAAATTGCTCCATTTAGTGATTATTTGTCATGATAATAATAATAATAATAATAATAATAATATATATATTCTCAGTTTTTTTACATGAGGGATACCAGTTTACAGGCATCATCAATATGATAAATAACATACACATGGAGTAAGCATATTTACAATTATTCACTTATACAGGATATACATACAAGAATAGGTAGTGGAATAATGTCAGTACTCCTACTTTGCATAGGTAAAAGCAATTTACACGATATAATCCTAGGCATCATTATTGTTTGAAGGTGGCGAAAATGCCCGTAACAACTAAAGGCTGCGTTACATCTGGTCGATATGGTGGGCTATTCAAAAAAGTATAAAAATGGCTTGTAAAAGATTAATTAGTTTCTCTCCTCCAGGATAATGACAGCCAAGTTCAACTCAAAAGGAAGGAAAGTTACAGTCATTCAATGCAATGCGCCTACAAACGTCTCAGAACAAGAGAAGAAGGAGGCGTTCTACAGACAACTACAAACAGTAATGGACAACGTCCCAAATGGCGATATCAAAATCCTGATGGGCGACATGAATGCGAAGCTGGGACGAGACAACACAGGAAGAGAACTCACCATGGGTCGAGAGGCCCTTGATGAAATGAACGACAATGGTGAACTCTTCTCAGACTTCTGCGCCTTCAATGATTTGGTGATTGGTGGTAGTGTTTCCAAACACAAGGATATACACAAGACGACATGGATTTCACCAGATGGAAACACCAAGAACCAAATAGACTTCATCTCAATTTCAAGAAAGTGGAGACGGAGCCTACTGGACACAAGGTCGAGGAGAGGAGCAGATGTGGGTTCAGACCACTATCTAGTACAAGGGACTTTCAAGGTGAAACTAAAAGCCTCGAGGATAGCTGGGGATAGGCCACAATGCAAGTTCAACACTCAGAAACTGAAGGACACAACCACAAAAGACACTTTCACTGCAACTGTCAGAGCAAAGCAGGAAACACTACGCGACATCACTGAAGAATCATGCGTGGAAGAACATTGGAAGTCTCTGAAGGCGATTCTCAACGAAACGTGTTCAACGGTTCTAGGAAGAAAGAAGAGACAAGACAAGGAATGGCTCTCAACGGACACTTGGAAATTAATAGAAGAGAGGAGAATGGTGAAAGAGAAAATGATTCAATGCAAGGACGGACAGGAGAAGGAGACGATGAGCTCAACTTACAAAGCATTGGACAAAGAAGTGAAGAAAAGTGCTAGGAAGGACAAAAGACGATTCTACGACAATCTAGCTACTGAAGCTGAAAAGGCAGCAGGCAAAAGGGACCTGAGGACACTATATCAGATAACCAAATCTCTATCCGGGAAGAGACCAACACAAGCGAAACCTATAAAAGACAGCCAAGGGAAGCCCATTACCAAGGAAGAAAAACAGATTAAACAATGGGCGGATCACTTCAAAGGACTCTTGAACCGACCACCACCTGCAACCCGTCCAGAAATACCAACAACAGCGCGCACACAACTGCAAGTTGACACCAATCCTCCAACGAGAGCTGAAGTCTTGAATGCAATCAAGCTTCTGAAAGCTGGAAAAGCAGCCGGACCAGATGGAATACCCCCTGAAGCACTGAAAGCGGACCCAGAGACTACAGCAGACATGCTGACTCCATTATTGCAAAAGGTCTGGAAGGAGGGAAAGGTGCCTACTGACTGGAGGAAAGGTTACCTCGTGAAACTACCAAAGAAGGGCGACTTAGGCCTCACTCTGCAAGAACTGGCGAGGAATCATGCTCCTATCGACGCCAAGTAAAATCCTGAGTCGCATCATCCTGGAGAGATTAAAGGACGCACTGGAGACAGAACTCCGACCAGAACAAGCTGGATTCAGGAAAGGCAAATCATGTACTGACCAAATTGCAACTCTACGCATCATCATCACAGAACAAAGCATGGAATGGCAATCAAACCTCTACCTCAACTTTATAGACTTTGAGAAGGCCTTCGACAGCGTTGACCGTGAAGTAATTTGGAAATTACTCGAGTACTATGGCGTACCCCAAATATTCATCAACCTTATTCAACAGCTGTACGACAACGGCACATGTCAAGTGATCCACAACGGAAAACTCAGCGAGGCGTTTGGAGTAAACACAGGAGTCAGACAAGGGTGCTTACTATCACCAATGATATTCCTAATTGTGGTGGACTGACTGGATTATGCGTCAGACAGTGGGAAACGAGAAGACAGGAATATCCTGGACCGACGTGAAGAACCTAGAAGACCTGGATTTCGCGCGTGGATGATTTATGTTTGATGTCACACAAAATCGAAGACTTACAAGCGAAAACCGACAAACTGGTCGAAGAAGCAGCGAAGACAGGACTCCAGGTGAACATAGACAAGACGGAGGTTATGAAAATAACCAACCAACAGCAACAGTAACAACATCCAGCGTCAATCACCATCAACGAGAGGAATTTGAAAGAGGTTACTTCATTCAATTATCATCTAGGGAGCATTGTCTCAACTACAGTCAGTTGGAACGGACGAGGATGTCAAATCGAGAATCGGGAAGGCGAGAAACACATTCATCAACCTGAAACCGATCTGGAAATCTTCGTCACTCAGCATCAACAACAAAATTCGGATTTTCAATACAAACGTCAGTCAGTTCTTCTATACGGATCAGAAACTTGGCGGGAGGGTCACAAAGAATATTTCCAACAGCCTGTTGCAGACCTTTATTAACAACTCTCTTCGCTCTTTACTGAAGATCAGGTAGCCAGGCAGGAAAGAATCACCAACAAGAAACTATGGGAACAAACAAAAGAAGAACCAATCGCCCGACAAGTATGCAAAAGAAAGTGGAGATGGATTGGACACTCGCTGAGGAGGCCACTGGGTGACATCGCGCGCGCGTCAGGCCATCACTCGAGTGGGACCACGAAAGGGAAGCGGTGTGTGGGACGTCCAAGGGTGACGTGGAGGAGATCGTGTGAAGAGGAGTTGAAAGAATATGGACTAACATGGATGCAGGCGAAAAGTACAGCAGAAGACAGAAGCAAATGGAGACGTGCATTTGAAGCCCTATGTTCCACTAGGAACCCAAGGGAGCAATAATATAGTAAGAAGTGTTTTCAGCAATATCATCTACAAGCAGCTCATCACAGCAGTTAGTGTTCAGTTGAGAATATAAAGAAGTATTAATGAGTCAACAGGAATCAGAAACAAGGGAACTTTTCAATTCATTTTGGTCAGGAATCAGAGTGATAACGAACTAATCCATACAAAATGACGAATGAAGCGTGCAGGGGCTGTGTATTACCTCTGAATGACTCAGTGAAATTTAAAATGCAGCTGTCAGCATATTTTCATTATTTCTTAGGTATCCAGGTTAAATGGTACTGTATAGGTAGTGATTTGCATTTTTTAGCAAGATGAATATATGGATGGATATCCAAATGTGTACTACGGCTTGTTCGCCATGCAGATTTAGTTAATTCCAATTCTGATATATTCCGCAAAGTATCAATGTGATCATGGGAAGTATACGTATGCTTTAGATGCATTATTTCGTGGACTTCCACTACCACCGAGAGTATACTCGATGTATTGCCACAATGCTTTGCATAATTGGAATACGCCAGCTTAATATTTACTTAGAATAAATGCAAAATCGTAGAGCCTGAATATGAAGTTATTCTAGAAAACAAACTGTTTTCAACAATCTGAATTATATAATTATGTGAAGACTAAAATGTTTGTAATTGCATGCTTAAAATTGCTAAGATAGCAATATTTACTTTTAACAACTTGATATGTATCCACATATATATATTTATGTGTGTGTGTGTATGTTGGTCTCTCTATTTGCTCGCTTAGTCTGTGACCATTTCACTTGTATGAAGCTGTCTGCTTTAACAATGTATATTCCATTTATATTATATATAATATGAGTGTTTGTTGACAGTCCGTTGCTTAGTGACGTATATCCATATATGGTTGTTTGACATGTCTGCTATATATATTTTGTTATATATATATTTCGTTCACACATTCTGTGTGAACTACTTTACTTACTGACCACTTTGGTGTGAGACCATTTATTTTCGTCTCCTTTTGTTTGGACAATAGAAGTATCATCGCAAACCTAGTGGTCTTCTGATTTCCGCCTTCTCGCGTCAGGAATATTAGTTTCTCGACCAGACCATAACAATAATTTAGCGACGAGTACATAACACAACTTTATCCCTAAAGTTTCAAAAAATAAATGTAAGGGCTCAACCCAATTCCAAATAATAGTACTGTGGTGGTGTGATACAGACAATGTGTTCCAACGGAATGTTATTCTCACATATTCCCACGGTTCAATACTACGCTAGCAACAGAATACTATGCATACTTGAACATTCTATTTCATGTCGTATATTGTAAGCCAAAATCACACTCTCAGTGATTGTGGTTAGAGAAAACAAAACTCTATATATATGAATAGTGGTTTGATAACATGAAAATATAACTTGGCTTCCATGTTTTGCCTTTTGTTGTTACAGTACAAAGTATTATTTGCAACCTAAATATAATTTTAGTGGTTTAAAATTATGTGGATATAATTTGCTTTAGTTTTTTTCTCTGACCTAATAGATAATTCTGATGGCTTCACAAGTAGATTAATTTAATCATTATAATAGAGGTTTTTTGTATTTGCCAATGAATGAAAAACAAAACGAGATTGTTGTTTTTACTGACGTTTCGCTATTTAATGCTAATAGCTTTCTCAAAGTATTATTAATAATAAGTATATATATAATAATAAGTATTAATAATAAATAAGATCCGGATTTTCAACTCCAATGTGAAGTCAGTGCTACTATACGGATCAGAGACTTGGCGAGTCATAAAGAGCATCTCAAACAAACTTCAAACCTTCATTAACAACTGTCTCCGCTCAATACTCAAGATCAGATGGCCAGAAAAGATCAGCAACAGGGATCTCTGGGAGCGAACCAATCAGAACCGATTGTGAAACAAGTAGGCAGAAAGAAATGGAGATGGATTGGCCATACGCTGAGGAAACCATCAAGTGACATCACTAGACAAGCCCTCGAGTGGAACCCGAAAGGGAGGCGGCGAGTTGGTCGTCCAAGGGTGACTTGGAGGAGGTCATGTGAAGAGGAGATGAAAGCATGTGGGCAGACCTGGAGCAGGGTGAAAAAGTTGTCAGAAAACCGAAGTCAATGGAGGTGCGCAGCTGAAGCCCTATATTCCTCTAGGAACTAAAGGATACAATAATAATAATAAAGTATTAATAATACTTTGAGAAAGCTATTAGCATTAAATAGCGAAACGTCAGTAAAAACAACAATCTCGTTTTGTTTTTCTTTCATTGGCAAATACAAAAAACCTCTATTGTAATGAATATCATATACCCAATGCCCAATTTTTTTCAAACCGTTAAAAGTGAACTAGATTAACTTAACTTCATTAAGACCTGCTTTATACATAAGTAAATCAGTATTGAGAGTTTCTTGAACGTCAGTCGACTATAAGAATTGTTGGATTATAGGCCATGGTTGACCTATTCAGTACTTGTTTTTTATCTGATTAAAGTAAGGAGAGAAAATATCATACAGTGTGGTCAGTGTATGCATTTTGTAGTCTAGTTAGTATTTTACTTTATGGACAAATAAAATTTTGCGTCAACACGATGTCACAATAAGCCATCATGAATAAAAGTACTGACGATAGGAAGGAAGACAATGTTAAGAGTATTTAATTAGCAAAACTACTTTTATAAAGTACAGTAGGGTCAAGTAAACTTTATTAGTGTCTATGAACGACTTTTGTTAGATAGACAACTGTGCTACGGAAATATAATTATTGATTAATCCGAAAGTAGTACACAAGCGGTTTAAACATTGGGTCAAACTTTTAGATGTATAGTTCACAAATTACTTGTAATTATTTTGGTATTTATTATGGTGAGAATGTTTTCAACAACACAGTTTCAGTGTCAGTCAAGCTGACACTTTAAAAAACGCCCAAGAGACATTGTGAACACAGAAGGAAAGATTTGACAGTGAGGTCACTTGATGTGATGGTTTCATACTTTTGTGAATTGAAATTATCTGGATGTATCACTGATTACCTTTACTGCAAACAGAAGAAATGACTTCTGATATCTGCAGCATATTTATTTACTTAGTCTTATCTGCATTGGCTTTTAACGAATTGCACTGTTTAGTAGTTTATTCGGCCGACTGGAATTATTACTAAAAAAACATATAAAAATACAAGTACTAGGCCGCATCATCCTGGAGAGAATCAAACAAGCCCTAGATGAAAACTTCGACCGGAACAAGCTGGATTTAAGAGAAACAAGTCATGTGTTGATCAAATCATCACACTACGGATCATCCTTGAACAAAGCTTGAAATGGCAGTCACTTCTCTATCTCAACTTCATCGACTTTGTAAAGGCCTCCGACAGCTCAGCGTCAATCGAGAGGTGGTTTGGCAACTACTTCGCTACTACGGGGTGCCACCGACAATTGTACATCTCATCCAACAGTTATACGACAATGCTGTATGCCAAGTAATCCACAACGGGAAACTTACGGAAGCCTTCGAAGTGAGGACGGGAGTGAGACAAGGCTGTCTATTACCGCCAATGATTTTCCTAATTGCAGTAGATTGGATAATGCGACAGACGACGGGCGATGAGGAAACAGGTATAAAATGAACTCACACAAAAATGGAACTTGGAGGATCTGGACTTCGCAGATGATATATGTCTGATTTCCCACAAACTGGAAGATATGCAAATGAAAAGCAACAAGCCGGCACGAAAAGCATCAAAGATAGGGAGGAGTTCAGGTGAACATAGAGAAAACAGAGGTAATGAAGATTCCTGGTCAATACCAACACCACCTCCAACAACAACAACAACAGACAACAATCAGCCAGTATAAATGGGAGGAACCTGAAAGAAACAACCTTCTTTACCTACCGACATTGGAAGCATCGTTTCAACTACAGGCGGACGGAGCTGACGAGGATATCAAAGCAAGACAAGCTTTCATTACTCTCAAGTCTGTGTGGAGGTCAACAGCACTCACCATCAAAAATAAGATCCGGATTTTCAACTCCAATGTGAAGTCAGTGCTACTTGCTATCCGGATCAGAGACTTGGCGCGTCATAAAGAGCATCTCAAACAAACTACAGACCTTCATTAACAGTTGTCTTCGCTCAATACTCAAGATCAGATGGCCGGCCAGAAAAGATTAGCAACAGGGATCTCTGGCAATGAGCGAACCAACCAACCAGGAACCGAATGTGAAACAAATAGGCAGGAAGAAATGGAGATGGATTGGCTGGCCATACGCCTGAGGAAACCATCAAGTGACATCACTAGACAAGTCATTGCTCGAGTGGAACCCGAAAGGGAAGCGGCGAGTTGGTCATCAGTGCAAGGGTGACTTGGAGGAGGTCATGTGAGGAGGAGATGAAAGCATGTTGGCAGGCTTGGAGCGGGGTGAAAAAGTTGGCAGAAAACAGAAGGCAATGGAGACGCGCAGCTGAAGCCCTATGTTCCTCTAGGAATTAAAGGAAATAATAATAATAAACACTAATCAATATTGTAAGGAGGAGAGTTTTCTATTTCAGTGAAAAAATCAAATTATTTGGTTAATTTCTAGGAATAAAATAGTGAGGTGAACCGCCTACCCGTCTCTAACAGACAATGTTAATGAAAAGCGCTATTAAACTGTACACGTATTTAATGCATTCTAGTACAATGTCATATGAACAGAATTGAAGTGAGCTGTTGTTTAACCGTGTTTCCCGACATAACGACATTGATTTGTTTCTAAATCAACATTTAACTTCCCACTTTCTCTCCGCATGATGAGTCACTATAGTTATTATTGCATCACCAAGTTAGACTTTTATACTGTTCCCACTAATCACACTTCACCTAACCAAGCTTCCTAATTGTAGAAAGCCAGAAAACTTAGCACATATGTATCATATGAAAACTAGTGTCCGTACAAGTATATCATTAAGTCGATCAAAATAAGATTGTGAGAGCAAAAATTTGGGCACAACCTAATTTACTCTACTGATCAAGTAACATGCTACAACCACCAGATCACAGCAGCTATTAAGAATTACGAATGTTCAAATGTTGGAAAAGATTTGAAATAATATGTTTTAACTAGTGTTTGACTTTTCAGTGACACTCAAGAAACACCCATAGATTTGTTTTACCTTTTATTTCATAGATTAAGATAACTCTTCCAGATACACAACTGTCTAGTATCAATCTGGATGTGAAAGAGACATTTCTCGATCTCAGAGCGCCAAAGTAGTAAGTTTTGAATTTTCAAAAATATTCATGAGTTTTCATGTGTGATATATTAAGGGAATGCACATTTTAAAGGTTTAGTTTTATTATTATTTTTTTAATGTAAATAAAGAACTTTAAGGGATAAGAAATGTTATTGTATGCTGACTCACCAATCTTCTCAATCAGTGATGTTATTTAAAGTTCAGTTAACTTGACAAAATGCAAAGATCGTTAAGTCAAGACACCTATGCAATGCATGAAATCACTGACTGTTGATGTGTCACGTAGTGATTTATCTGAGTGCTCATTTGATCAGTAATTAAAATGCTGAATGCTGTCAGAAACAGTATGTCGCTCTGTCATGAAATCCACAAGGGGAAGTTAATCCTAGTTGAAAATGATCAGTTAAACTCATCTTTTCACGTTGTTTGTTCCTCTAAAAGACAGAACCAACATATGTCCTTTTAAGGAAAATATACAATTACAGAAATCTCATGTGAAGACAGATTTATTCGTTATTTACACATAATTGTTCTTTCTGTTGACTGTCTCATAAACTAACGTTATACACCTCCACTGACTTCTTGGAAATATCAGTTAAACAAAATCTTATTTCTGAAATATCAGAATCTCTTCTTTGTAAAATTAATAACGAAGTTATGAATGCTTGTTGTGTACATTCAATTGCCATTTTTCCGTACTTTTGAAGACTTAATAAGAAATATTGAAACATGGTTCGAATCATTTGAGTTACGAACGATATCATTTGTAATAACCTCGTATAAATATTTAACAGAATATTTTTAAAGATATTTTATTTTCTATTCTTTCAGTAAACTTGGATTGTACTTGCCAAATCCTGTAGATCCAGATTCCAGTAAAGCAGAATGGAATGAAGATAAAGAAATATTAGAAGTAACTTTAAGAAATAAAAGGGAATATGATTTTATGAATGAATAAATAAATACATTATTTCGTTTTAATAGTTTTTAAGCTGAACTGAAGTATTCATTTAAAATTATGGTATCTTATAGGAAAACTCATTCATTAACCGTTTGTGTAACAACAGAAAACAAGGGCCGGAAACAGATCGTTTTATTACGAAAATCAACACGTATTTATATTTCCTGTACATTATTATAGCTTACGCAAGTAGATAAACGCAGTCTTCTGATTGGTTGTTTTCGAGTTTCTCGGAAATTGAAGCCATCTATCTGCGAATCATATTTGCCCACGTTTAAGTCTGCTGTGATTGGTTGTTGAATTAGCCTTGTTCATATTTTCTCACGGCCAATATTAGTGACCTAGATATTGACGTCTACCAATTGGCTAGCAGCCTGTTCTCATCACATTTGTAAGAAGTTTTGTTTTAATTTGGTTTTCCTGAATGCTGCATTTTATAATAATAATAATAATTTACTTTATTCCAAAAACAGTACTTGTGATACAGAATGGAATTTTCAGCATTAATCACAATATTGCATCTAATTTCCTCAAATTATAAATAAAAATTAATCACACAGAAAATTTTCCACATTTACAATAGAGATAGTGTCAAAAACATGCAGCATATAAAATGGAAATAGCAATAATAATGATAACAGCTAGGGTAGTAATAATAAGAATACAAGTGAAAATTGCCGTTGGCTTGTGTCACACAGTATTGGCAATGTGGTATAGAAATCCTAACATGTTTAAAAATATTGAATATAATGTTCTCTTTACATGATATGGTGAGGGGAAAAACAAAGATTACAGCCGTCATGGAGATAAGTTGGTGTTTGCAATTATGAGAGTAAAAAAACAGAGAAGTAACAGGACCATAAATATAATAGAAGTAATAAAAGTAAAACTTGAAGGTATGTATATAAGGAAGGATGGATGGAGGAAATTGTTTATTTACTAGATGAAAAAAGGTTAGTTAATTCTTGCCTGACACTATTTTCATCACATAAAATACGTGCCAAGTATGGTATCATAGAATTTCTATACTTAGACGTGCGAGCATACAGTTTTCTGAAGTTACTTCTTGTTCTACCTGAGGAGATGCAAGGTGAAAGCTGAGGGTAAAGCGGATGCTCCAAGTCAGACAAAATCCCTCTAGCAAATTTATTGCACGAAGTCAAGTGCCTATCGACAACGACGTTAACTATGTGGTCCACTGGGACACCACTCACCCTACTGACAGTCTTCAGTATTCTACGAATTGTGACATAGTCTTTTTAAGCAAACCAGGAAAGAATAAGGGTGAACAATAAAGAAGAATAGGTAGGATGCAAGAGTTTATGAACTGTAAGAGGAGGGGTTGAGTTATACCCGAGTGTCTTAACTTCTTAATGTAAAATGTCAGGCGGAATATTTTACTGGAGATTGCTAAGACATGGGAAGACCAGGAGAGATCAGAAGAGGGAATGAGTCCAAGATACTTAATTTCTGATTTGATTCCTATATCATTGTCGTCAATTTTACAACTGTCATGAGAATCGATGACTTCTTTTAACTGTCTTTTACATCTTAAGCTGAAATCAACAGTTTGACATTTAGAAGGATTCAGTTTAAGACCGTTAGACTCAGACCATTTGCTGACTCCCGATAGAAAGCTATTTATTTTGATACAATCTAGCTGGGAGTTAACAGCCATTGAAACCGTTAAATCATCAGCGTACTTCACAAAGTTTATTTCATCAGAGTGAGGCAAGTCATGCAAGAAGAAAGAAAAAAGAAAAGGAGAAAGAACAGCACCTTGAGGGACACCAGCTTCAGTAGGCAATGAAGTGGAAGACTTCCCTTTATATACGGTGTACTGCTTTCTATCTGAGAAATAGGAATGTAACCAGTTAACAGCCCAACATTCTGTTTGACTAGCAGCAAGTTTATTTAATAAGATGTCCCTAGGGACCGAGTCAAAAGCAGATGTATAGTCTAGGAAGGCACAACGAACAAATTTAGCCCCCTTGTCTAGACTGGAAGCAATGTTATGATATAAGACGGCAGCTGCATCTAAAGTGCTTCTACTGTGCTTATAGGCGAATTGTTTAGGGTCATTAAAGGATTTAAGCGAAGGTTCAAGACTAAGTAAAAGTAATTTCTCCATAGTTTTCAAAAAAGGAGAGGTAATAGCAATGGGTCTAAATTTGACACATGCTCCAGTGGATGATTTAGGTATGGGTACAACTTTAATGTCCTTCCAAACGGCAGGCACAATATTATCGGAAAAAGATTTGTTAAATAGATCAGTAAGAGGGTGACACAGAATATCAGAACATTTTTTAAAAATAATACTAGGTACATAATCGGGACCTAAGCTCTGGGAAGGGTTTAGAGACTTGAGGCACTTTTGAACATCATTTGTGTTAAAACCTGGAAAGGGGCTATTATTAACACAAGTGATGCTGGGAAGCATGGCATTTGAGGGAGAGTAAATAAAAGATTTGTTAAGAGTACATACATCAAAAGAATATGGAATATTGTTTATCTGCTTACCACCAGTGATTTCCTTAAATAGTTTCCACATATTAGAAGGATTTTTGCAGAATATGAATTTCTGGTTATATATTACATTCAACCTCTGCATTTCAGACTTAATTAAGAAGTTAGTTCTTTTTACACCACTTTTATCTTTCATCTTATACAGTTTTTCCTTCTCTCTACGAAGCTTTTTAAGCAAGGGGATATTCACAATTTTTGAAAGCCTACATTCTGTTGAATACCGGAAGCTATTACTCAGTACTGAAGACACATGCCCAAGATAATGATGTTTAAGCTTCTTTAGGAATTAACAAAGCACACAAACCAGTTACTGCATGGTACACAAGAACAGTGAAGCTTTGATTTCTGGTCATTTCGTCATTCATTCGCCAACTGAATGAGTTCTTTCTGCGTAAACAGTTTTAGGCAAACCTGATTTTATATGCGAAACTCAAACTAGTTTTCCCAGTCAATTTTTCAATTTAACAGAAACTTAAACACATCTCTCTACAATGATGAACCTTTTTACAAAATAGAAGGATATTGCTAACAAGTAATTATCATATACTTACAGCATGCTATCAGTATTACTGATGATACGTTTCAAATAATTCCGGCTAATTTCATGTCAACGTTTGAGAATTATACAGAAATCACGTTTCACCTTAACACATTCATCAACCAACTGAAACCGATCTGGAAATCTTCGTCACTCAGCATCAACAACAAAATTTGGATTTTCAATACAAACGTCAGTCAGTTCTTCTATACGGATCAGAAACTTGGCGGGAGGGTCCCAAAGAATATTTCCAACAGCCTGTTGCAGACCTTTATTAACAACTCTCTTCGCTCTTTACTGAAGATCAGGTAGCCAGGCAGGAAAGAATCACCAACAAGAAACTATGGGCATTAACAAACAAAAGAAGAACCAATCGCCCGACAAGTATGCAAAAGAAAGTGGAGATGGATTGGACACTCACTGAGGAGGCCACTGGGTGACATCGCGCGCGCGTCAGGCCATCACTCGAGTGGGACCAGGCCGAAAGGGAAGCGACGTGTGGGACGTCCAAGGGTGACGTGGAGGAGATCGTGTGAAGAGGAGTTGAAAGAATATGGGCTAACATGGATGCAGGCGAAAAGTACAGCAGAAGACAGAAGCAAATGGAGACGTGCATTTGAAGCCCTATGTTCCACTAGGAACCCAAGGAAGCAATAATAATAATACGTTTCATCTTAATTCGAATGTTGTGAGCATAGATATTTAAAAATACAAGAAGACACTTCCCGGAAGTATGGTTTTCAAGAATTCGCTGTAATGATATATTTTGGTTATGTGTTAACTGCAAATATTATGTATGGTTAATACCGCTGTATGCATATCTTTTTACTTCTGTTCTGTGCTCGCAAACGTTTGTCATCGGTAAATTTGAAGGAACTAATGTCCCCTTCGGGATTTGGACTTGTAGTTAGAGGCATTGCCACTGAAGTACACAGATGAGAATTGATCACAATAAGGGACTACAACAGAAATACTGAATATTCACATGCTACAAGTGCAAAGTTGACTGACTGAATCCTAGGACAATCCAAAATAACATTCCCGGCACAGAAAAAGATCAGTGTTTAGTCTTACAGATGTATTAAGTTTTATTTCTACACTCTGGTATTTATTTATTTTCATTAGCATAGAGATAAATAATTTGTTATTTTTTTGAGAACATTCTGAATGCATGAAGATGACTCTTAACTTCAGGAATAAAATTTAATTGATGTTGATGCACAACAAATGTATTACTTTTCCTCTTGTTTATGAATTCATAAGTGTAATTTAAAGTTATCTAGATTAAAGTGTGGTGAGTACAACTCATGATTAGATATAAGTAATATATCAGTAAACGAATTCAGAAACGTTTTGGGCTGTGAAAAAAAAACAATCGAAGAAGAGAGCTGTGAAAACAACGTTACAAACACTGTGAAGAATCTAACAAACTATCGAATATGGGGATATTCGACCAATTTGTAAATGATACGCATATAAAGACTTAAGGTATTCCAAATTTATATACCTACAATGCGTTTATCCTAAAAGACACTGACTTCGAGCCCCATCGGCCTTTTTATTCTTTACAACAGTACAGCTATATGCAGGGGAAACTTCATCTGACGTAATAAGTAGTAATGGAAATTTATGAGGGATATGAAAGCATAACTGCCTCCAAAGCCTCAAGATGGTCGGGGGTGGGTGCCTTGCGCTGCAGGTTGGCCACCCCTCCGTACACCTTTTGAAATGCTCCCATATAACCGGGCGTCTTACATAGCCTCTCCTGAGGAAGTCGTACTCACTGCCTTCACGTGGCGGAGGTGTTTTTCACCAAAGGGAGAGGGCAAAAGCGGATGCCCGGCGCTCTTCACCGGGTTGACTGTCCATTGGATAACAGTCTAGGGGAGACGGCTAAACCCTGATTCCAAACCTCCAACGACTGGCGTATGAA